CCCCGCCCATCAGTTTCTTAGCCCAAATCCAGACAGTAGTGCCAAATGGGTCTTCACTTGGCCAGAGGACATGTATTAAAGAATCAAGAGCAGCTCTCTGCTTAAGAACATGTAATAGTTACATATATGCTTGAGGATCACATATGGAGAGAATGGTGGTAAGAGGTACGGTGAGTGCCAAATAGAAGAGACGTTTATCACACTTTTTTGGTAAACTCTTCTGCCATGGCCACGTGGGGTGGTTATCAAAGTATTTACCTCACTGTCAAAGTTTCCCACCCCATGTTCCGTTTTGTTTTTTGGAAATGGACAATGTCACCTTGGCTGCTTTTCCCACAGGATGAGGGAGTGGTGGGTCCAAGTGGGGCTACTGGCCGTGCCCTTGCTGGCTGCGTACCTGCACATCCCACCTCCTCAGCTCTCCCCTGCTCTGCACTCATGGAAGACGTCGGGCAAGTTTTTCACCTACAAGGGACTTCGCATCTTCTACCAAGGTGAGAACTGGACTGTTGGAGAATCCCAAGGACATGGGTCATGTAGGTCCCAGATGAGGTCCTTATTTTGTGTCCCTTGGTCTCTGTTGCTCCATAGTGATGGAGGGGAGTAACCCCGTTTGTATAAAGTGTACCTGAAATAATGGACTAATTCCCTTCATTCTTGAAAGCAGGGGAGTCAGCAGTGGAGGGAGGGCCGGGGTGGGTGGGGCCGTACCTGGTTTAGTAAGTTTCTTCCAGCTCCATCGGACACTAGTTTTCTCTTGAGCGCCCCCTAGTGTCAGGTAACGTGTATATTTAGAGACCTTTCCACACCTTTGTTCCCCACCCCCGCCCATTCCCACATGTCATTTTATTATTTCCCATGATTTGTTATATGTATCTAAACCTGATAAGATTTACTGGGGATTATTATAGCTGCTACTTAATTACCACACTCAAGGCATTCTGTTATATTTTTAACTTTCATTATCTTCATTTTTTCATTTAATCACAACAGCACTTGGAGATAGGTGCCATTAATCTCATTTTATAGGTGAAGAGACTGAGAAACAGATTGGAAAAGATCTCTTTTGGGCGGGGGTCAAGAGCAATAACGAAAAATGTTTGTTTTTCGTAAACCGTTTTTCATTATTGCTCCTGACCTCCTCTCATTTGTTATATACAGTCAGGTAAGTATGAAGACTTCTTTATGTTGGCTTGTTGGTTCTTCTCCAGAACTAATATTAATTAATATTATTTGTGTAGATTCTTCAGGATAAGTACAGTACATGATATTGTAATTGCTAATTAAATAATTTTTGAAAACTTATTACCAAAATTTAATGCCATTGACAGTATTAATTTAAATCCAGTACTGTGGCAAGGTAGTCTATTGTTTGACTGATTTGAAAGATGTCACGTACAGAAGAAAGTTCATGTTCCTATTAGCCTATTTTTGTAGCAGATAGAATTTTGTAAGTTCGTTTCAGAGTTGGGTGTGTCTGCTATACTGGATAGAGAGTACGAACTCAGGTGCTCCAGGGGTAAGAACTCTGAGATCATAGGAAATGTGATAAACCAGGGATAAGGTACAAAGACTCTTTAGTTTTGCTGTGATTATAACATTTTAATTGGTTTTACTTTTTATTTAACTGGTTTACTTTTTACTAAATGAAAAATAATTTGCATTTTAATATTAATAACTAAAACATGGGAATGTCTCTAAAAAATTTAAGTGATAATCAGTAAACTGTTTCCAGAATTTTCATGTAAAGTGTGCCATTTACAATTTAAAATACTAGTAAGAGGAAGCTCCTCTTATCTGAAGTATTGTAAGCTTGCATTTAAAGAGCAGCATTTTAATAGCATTAATTTGGTCTGATCCTTTGTACTGAATTAGATTTTGTTGTCTTCGAGGCTACTTTGCAGGGAGTTTGCCTGATTTCTCTTTCTTCCTTCTAGACTCTGCCGGTGTTGTTGGAAGCCCTGAGATAGTTGTGCTTTTACATGGCTTTCCAACATCCAGCTACGATTGGTACAAGGTAATGAAGTTTGGTTTCTAGGTCCTGTCATGCCCTAAAAAACTCAAACCCTAGAATTTTTTTATTTTTGTCAGCCCTAGAAGGCTCTTGCAGATTTGAACTGCTTGATAAAAATCTCATTAAATGTAGAATTGCTTTTCATGTCCTATAAGGGAGTAAAAAAATTGGCTGTCCAGAAAAGATCATTGCCAAGTTAAAGGCTGGAGTTATACTCGCAATATATTATATGCTAGGAATCACCCCTTATCCCAGAGGATCACCCAGGCCTGTGGTGGTTTCATGATATTTTTTCACGTTATCCAAGCTGACATACAGGCATGAGTCTCGTGGGCTGCTGTGGGCAGGGCAGTGGCACATGAGAGCAGAGTACATGGCATGCTTGCTTTCTTACAGATCTGGGAAGGTCTGACCCTAAGGTTTCATCGAGTGATTGCCCTGGACTTCTTGGGCTTTGGCTTCAGTGACAAACCGGTGAGCAGCAGCTAGGTGGACCCCGGGATGGCGGGGTGGCTATGGATGTTAGTCAGGCTCTGTCTGGTGACGTCATGCTGTGTCTCTGGCTTTCCTTTCCTTAGCGACCACATCAGTATTCCATATTTGAGCAAGCGAGCATCGTGGAGTCCCTTCTTCGTCACCTGGGACTCCAGAACCGCAGAATCAACCTGCTGTCTCATGACTATGGAGATATTGTTGCCCAGGAGCTGTTGTACAGGTCAGTGAGACCAGACTTCTGTCCTTGGCACAGGTGTCAGGAGCTTAAGATGACATGAAGTCCAACTGTTTTGGGATCTTCAAACCTCTGAGGGTTGTCTGCAGCCTCCTGCAAGGGTACCAGTTGCTCAGCTACATGTGTGTTTCTTCTTGCCCTGTTACAGGTACAAGCAGAATCGATCTGGCCGGCTTACCATAAAGAGTCTCTGTCTGTCAAACGGAGGTAATTGCCTTGGTGGAGGTGGAAAGTGGGATGTAGCCTAGAAAAGCCATCTTTTAAGTCATAAAGACATCTAAGGGTAATCTTATATTATGAGCAGACACTAGACATAGGGTATCTTTTACCTTTACTGTGCCATGAATAGTTTTGATAGTTGATAGCATTTATGGAAGACATGTTTTCAAACATACAGAAAATAAAAGGATAACCAAGGGGGTGTGGCAAGATAACTCAGTGGTTGAGGGTGCCAAGTCTTGCTGCCAAGTCTGTCAATAGGAATTGGATTCTGGAACCCCCCACACTGTTGAAGGAGAGAACTGACTCCTGACCTCTGCACATGGGTCTTGGCCCCCATGTACACATGAACACAATAAATAAATGGTTTTGTTTTGTTCTGTTTTTTAAAAAAGCTGGGTATGGTGGTGGATGCCTTTAATCCCAGTACTTGGGAAGCAGAGGTAGGCAGATCTCTTAGTTTAAAGCCAGCCTGATCTATATAACAAGTTCTAGGACAGCTAGGACTACACAAAGAAACCTTGTCCCCCAAACAAAAACAAAAAACAAAACAAACAAAAAAGGACCACCACAAATGTGATCCTGTTGATCTGGCTGGTAAGTTGCCTTACTAAACTCTTAATTGGTGGCAGTGCCAGGTGTCAGCTGGGAATGAATGAGTGTTATCTGGAGTTTATTTTTCTTTGTCATTGAGGAGTTCATTGATCCAGAAATGCCCAAATGCCCCTACCTGAACGTCTTGAGGGTGGCTGGGAAGAAGTACCAGTGCAAAAGAAAAGTCATTTTCTTTTACTGGAACCTACTTTACAAGTGTGTTTGCAGACGAGTTCATTAACAGCACTGTGTACTCTGTGAGCACTGGGAGGAGATGCTGAAGGGCGTTTAGGCCTAGGCATCAATGCATTATGGAAGAGCACATGAATTACTTTATCCATCTTTGTACCTTTAAAATGAGGAAAGAATTCCAGTGTGTTGTAATTTGACTGCTAAGCAGAGAATCTCACAGAAATGAGCAGTATATATAATCATTCCTCAGCTTGGTACACATATGCAGTTCTGTGCTGAGTGTAAGTTGTTAGGCAGTGCATAGCTGTTTTTATTCATAATTCTGTTTTGGCAGTGAAAGCCTCAAATTTAGTAAGCATGCCTAGGGTGATTAGTTTCTGGTAATGCTGTGCTTCTAACTTAGTGTTGGGAAATGACTAAGAAGTCTCTTTTTCCACAGGTATTTTTCCTGAGACCCACCGCCCTCTTCTTCTCCAAAAGGTCGGCAGCTCCACTGCACAGCTCCTCAGTTCAGATGTCTGTGACATTAAACACACACAAACCTAGGACCTTTTAAGGGCCATACCTGCAGTGACAAGCCAGACTACTGAAATCTTCATTATTATGAATTCACATTCAAGTTCATTTTTCTCTCCTTAGTCAAACAAAGCAGGCTCTCTTACACAAAACCAAAGGTTTCTGAGAAACAGGAGAAATACAACTATATGAAGATCTTTGTCATAAGCATGATGTTTAAATAAATGAGATCCTAGGCTAAACTTGATGATTTCATCAGTTACATTTAGGGATTATACATTTTTTTTTTCAGAAGAAGATATGGCTAAGTTTTATTTTATCTGGTATAAAACATTTTGTCTTGGGGAGTTGTCAACTTCTCTGGATCCTTGATTTGTACTTTCACTTCTTATCTGCAGCTCCTCAAAGATGGAGGTGTGCTCTCACCTATCCTCACACGGCTCATGAACTTCTTTGTGTTCTCTCGAGGGTAAGTCATCATTGAGGACTGAGTGTGAGCTGTGAACTTTCTGAGTGGGCAAAGGGGCAGATAGTCTGGCCTTCTGAGGTCCTAGTTCTGTCTGGTGCTCTGAATTCCTTCCACATGTCTGACCTTCCTGCGTTTGTACTCTTTTCAGTCTCACTCCAGTCTTTGGACCATATACTCGACCTTCTGAGAGTGAGCTGTGGGACATGTGGGCTGGGATCCGCAACAATGATGGGAACTTGGTCATTGATAGGTAAGACCTTGCTCTAGGCCCCAGCAAGCTCTCTTGGAGAGAGAGGCAGGTGCAAGGTTACATTCTGCTCCTTGCTGGCTTACTCCATGTCACAACAAGGCTGGTGAGGGATTGTGAGACAAACCTGAAACAGTCCTGCTCTCTGTTTTCCAACAAAGAAATCAAGCACAGGGTAAACCTTACTCCTAAAGCATTTGGCACAGAGAATGTGGACAAATAGTTGCAAATCTTAGTGCTTATGTGCATGAAAATGACTCAGTGACTTTGACATATTATCCTTCTTTAGACTTTTGGATAATATTAAATATTTCAGAATGTTTTAATCATAGTTTTGAAAGGAGCCTATCTGTCTCTTAAGTACAAAGCTCTTCCTTTGCCTGTTTCTCCAGTAGCAACATGGTTTGAGAAGCCAGGCTTTGGTTTAGATGAGACTGTAGCTGTTTCCTTGGAGACTGGAGACGGTAACATGCATCGCTCCTTTTGCCAGCTGCCCTGTGACTCCCTGTGTTATAACTGCTGGCTTTGCTGTGAACTCTGTATGAGAGGCGCTCCTCCCTCCCTATCCTAACCCACAAGATCCTTAATACAGTTTAAAAATATTAATCAAACTAAAAAAACAAGCATGCCTTGCTTCTCCTGTTTTGCCTTACTAACTGCCCCGGAGTTAGGGAGAGCAGTCAGAATGCCGTCTGGGCTGCAGTGGGGCTGGTGACCGCTTCTAGAGCAGGAAGAGTTCTCAACTCCTTGGTGAGATGCAGTGCAGTGATCGAGCCCTGATCCCAGAAATTCCTACACTGGCACTTTTAGAGGTGGCTATCAAATCAGAGATTATGTGGTTTGGTTTTAGTTTCAAATGATGAATTTGTTTAAAAAAAAAAAAAAGGGCTTTCTCAGCCACAGAGCTAGTTAGTAGTAGTGGAATCAAAACTGGATTCTTAGACCCAGGTTTTAAATTATGTACACTCCAAACCAACTGTAATCCTTCAGAAGATCTCATTTCCTGCTTAATAAATGTAAAGAACCATCAGTGCTCATGTTGACAGTCACCTTTGTGTCTACATGGTAGTTAACACAATGGATGCAGTAGGCTAGCTATTCCCGGGCCCCGAGGCTGCTTCTGTGTGAGGACACTTCTCTGTGGCTCTGTGGCCTCTGGAACTGCACTGATAATAGTTCTTGTTCCACTCTTGCTGACTCACCTGTGCTGTATGTAGTCTTTTACAGTACATCAATCAAAGGAAGAAATTCAGGAGACGCTGGGTGGGAGCACTTGCTTCTGTGACCATCCCCAGTGAGTATCTGTGTGTAGTCTTCTGTCACTTCTTGACAGGGACCCTTGGGGAATAATGACTTAACATAATTACCACTCATAAAATCTCCATGCAGGGTTGCCAGGGTTAGCAAATAAAAACATGCATCCAAGTCAATCTGAGTTTTACATAAAAAATAGCTACTTTTAGTATAAGTATGTGCTATAAAATATTTAGGACATACTTTTTACCCTTATCCCCCGTACTGAAACTCACAGAGATCCCAGTGCCAGGATTAAAGGCATATGCCACCACTGCCCAGCTAACTGCCCAGTCTTTATTCACTGGCAATCCTATTCCAAACACCTGGAATGCCAGAGTGAGGGTGTAAGGCACTGAGGTACTACTATAGATGGAGCTGGTATGGCTTACCTGCTATGGTAAATATGAACTGTTGGGACAGCAAGCTAGTAAGGGCATTAGTGAAGGTCGTAGATACCGGGCTGTCCTCTCTTCCACATAAAAGGGAATTAGCACAGATCACTAGCCTCACATACTAGTGGTCAAGATGCTAGAGGGCAGTTACAACAGAGGGAACTTCGAAGGATGATGATTCTAGCTACATTTCTAGAAAGAAGATCTTGAAAGTGAGCTTACTCCTTTGGGTTCAGAGTACAGAAGAGCAAGAAGGGACCACATAGTTCTATGTAGAAGACTGACTGGCCTGTTCCCTAAGTTCTTTATAGCTCACTTAATAAGAATGTTTTCTATCATAACATTTTTATTCACAGATTTTTAAAAAAAAAAAATAAGTGGAGGGAGGTCAGTTTGAGGGTAGCAATAGGAGCATAGATGGGAGTTGTTAGAAATTCCTTCTTCTTCTCTTTCCTAGTTCATTTTATCTACGGGCCATTGGATCCTATAAACCCCTATCCAGAGTTTCTGGAGCTGTACAGGTGAGTCCTCCTCAGAGGTCTGTTTTGTTAGTATTTCATCCTGACAGGGTTGCTGGCACTCGATATTGCCTCTGACCTCACTGGAAACATACAGTAAATAGACCTAGATAGGGACAGGAAATCTTATTCTCACCAAAGTAGAAAGATCAAGAGATTTGATTACACATTCTCTGGATTCATACATCTGGATTCATGCATCCTATTTTCACTGTCATGGCTGTTATCATATTCCTAAGTATAGAGGAAAGAGGAAAAAAACCTTTATGTGAACCGAACATCTTAAGAAATGTGTTAGTCTGACTGTAAAGCCAGTTCACTGACCTCAACTGAGCAGACTTCAGTGAGCAGTTATGAACAGCTCACTATGAAAAATGCTTTTTCATTTTTCATTGGTTGTTACTCTCTCAGGGTAGTTATTCAGAAGGTGCTGGAATATGAAATCTTGACTGTCACGTAAGAGTGTTCCATACCTTCCTGTGCCCTAGTAGAACGCTCTGGCAATCCACAGCTTGCTTACAGTTTAAACATCCCTCATGAGGTTAAGGAGGTTCTCTGTCTGTCTTTGCTTGGGCAGTGAGCTGCTGAGTGAGCACCTGTTGTTGCTTCTCTAAGGAGCTGGAAGTCATGACTTTTTGAGGACTGTTACCGAAGTGTTGTATTTGCAAGATGTTGTCTGTTGTGTTCTGAACAATTGAACCAGTTTAAGTGGAACTGGCAAGTTTATCTGGCTGAGGTCTAGTTCCCAAGTAGAAGAGGAATAAGCTTTGTTTGCTTCTTCCAGTGTGGTATGTCTCCAGGGGCATCTACGGGGCTTCCCATCGCTTACATCCTCTCATCCTCCAACCTTAAGTTCACCTCCATGCTGTTCTCTTCCACTAGGAAAACGCTGCCGCGGTCCACAGTGTCGATTCTGGATGACCACATTAGCCACTACCCACAGCTAGAGGATCCCATGGGCTTCTTGAATGCATATATGGGCTTCATCAACTCCTTCTGAGCTGGAAAGAGTAGCTTCCCTGTATTAATTACTCCCCATTCTCGTATCTGTGTGTATTCCACTTAGAAATGCCCAAAAGAGGTCCTGGCAATCAAATACTATTCTTTCATAAAGTCCATTTTATTCACACTGGTGAACAAATTATAGAAAATAGGCAGCAAAAACTCTAAGGATGACATGATAATCCATCTCTCATTCTCTAAAGGGTGACATGATATTCCTCCCCTCATTATTACTGTGAAATCTGACCAAGTGTAGGGATCTACTGTTGTTTTGTGTTATTAGAACATTCTGATGAACAGCACTTCTCAATTATGCAGAAAAACAGCATTGGAAATTTTTTCATAAAATACTTAAAAAAAAA